AATTTGTGGATTGTGTTTGCCTGATTTTGTACATTCATATGTTAACCTTGTTACAATACCATCTTCAGATTCGCTTCACCTAATCCTATAACTAAAACCCTCTTGTAATGCAAAATTATCAAAAAATAATTTTGCCTGTTTCCACGAAATGAAAATAACATTTGTATATATTTGTTGTGCGTGAAAATCAAATTTGTGTCAATTTGAAATTTACCCCGAGGGGTGGGTTTTTGAATACAAAATTCTGATTGTCTAATTTGGATTTCACGCGCGTGAATTTCAAATTGACGCAGATTCCAAATTCACGCACAACATATTTAAAAATAGCACTATCACTACATTAAAAAGTATAATATTTAACCCAAGTTAATTTCTGGTTATTATTATTATTAAAACAAAGATGAAAGAACTAAATATTGATCCCTGAAATCTTTGATAATATCAATGTACACATTGCCTGGTTTTGTTACAGCATGCCCATATAAAATTATCTATGCCGATTGACTTTCTATGTTGTTATTTTCTTATTCTTCTTCAGCTGCCACTAATTCATCTTTAAAAATGTGGACCAATGAATTTAAATCCGTATTTTAATTGATGAATGAAAAGAAACAATGAAGAATACCACGATCTTGTTGAAGCGATAAAAGAAATTTTTTTAAGTGTTGTATCTAAAATTTGTCTTATACATGATTATAAAGTAAGAAAATTTTTTTTATTATACTATCATATACTCCAGCTACGGACTAATTATTATTATTTATCAGTTAATGCATTATATATCGAAGGTGATGCTAAAGGTAAAATAACCAGAAATTGGAGAAAATGCTATAATGAATTCCAAACGATTTTTGAGAGAAACCAGATAAATATTATTGATACTGAGATTTGAAATATATTATGGATTTGTATTAAAACTTACTAGATTGAAATATTATTTTTGATTATAAGTTATAATCAAACAAATAGAAAGAAATCACTCAATGGTACAAAGGTGAAAGGCCAGTAGTACGAAGGATTCCTAAATATCGAACTAAAATTTTTGCATGGGAGGATTTTATATACAAGGAAAAACCTTTCTCTTTGTTTCAGAAGAATTATGAATGCATATTTTTATATTGGTATATTACGAAGACACAAACAAGAATGCATGACGTTTCCAGAATTTCGTCAAACATTTATTGGTGAAAATTTTCCTGAAATTATGGACTGGTCAGACTTAAATCCAATTGAAAATTTTTGGGCAATTGTAAAAAGAATGTAGAAATACGCATGCGACTTCTCAGAATTAGAGCAGTATATGACGGGACAGAATTCCAAATAATGTTATAATTACCTTATTAGTTCGGTGGGGGATAATCACGAAAGAACAAATTATTAATTTTTATATCAAAAAACTTTAGATTTTAAACTTTATTTGATATATTTTTTTTGTCAATGTTTATGCAATAATTTTAGAGTAATGAATGAATGAATAAATAAAAATTTCCAAAATTTTTTGTTACACTCTATATATAATAAATTTCATTTACGTCTCCATACAGACATAGCTTCGTATCCTTTTCTATGTTCATAACTTGGACAATCAGGATCAAAGTATTCTTTTGTAAAATCATTTTCAAGTAGTTCTTGATATCTATAAAAATATTTAAAAAAGAAAATTACCAGTCAATCTCCACTCAAATACATTTACTTGTATACAATATGAATAAATTAATGAATGCCTACATTTCAAGATTTAAAGCATATGGCGGACCACCTTCATGATCACTAGCAGACCAAATAGGAAAAATTAAAGCAATTAATACACCACCTGGTGAAATTAATTCTGCCATTTTTGATGCCCATGATTCTCTTAAAGTTGGAGGTAATGCACATAAAAAACTATAAAATATATATTGTTAAGAATTATTATATATATATAATTTTCTTTAAAAAATATTTATTTACGTGTAATCATAGACAAGTTGAAATTTCTCTGTTGGACTAAGTTTAAAGAAATCACCAGCAATAAAAGTTGCTATAGAAGAATCAATTGCTTTGTTTTTTTGGAGCTTTATATGTATAAAAATGTGTATTAGTAAATTTTATATAATTTATATGTGTGTAAATAATAATGATATTATTTACTTGAATAGCTTGATCAATGACTGTTTCACTTAAATCTAAACCAGTAATATGCCTTTTTTCATTGGCCAAATAAAATACATCATATCCCTAAAATTTATTTTCATTCTGATTTAATTATTAATTTTAATTGATAAAAAAATTCATTTTCTTACTTGTCCACATCCGGGAACTAAACCTTTTCCTTCTGGTAATTCAAATTTTTTTACTTCAACCAAATCTATTAATGCTGGTGATGGCCTATTATTATTCCATGGCGTTACCTGTTTTTATTTATTTATCATTATTTATTTATTTATTATCAAAATTACTATTTTAAACATAAATGCACTATTTCTTTTCCTTGCCTGATCAATATATAATTTGTCCCATCCTAAATTTATAAATCATTTAGTTGATTAACCAATTAATCAAAAGCATCTTCTGTTTTATTTTAATTTTTTTTTTACCTGCTTGCCCACTTTCAGCAATTGTTTTTTGTAAATATTGCATAGTCTGTTTCTTCTGTTGATCCGTGCTCATTATTAATAATAACTATATTATGACCTTTCTTTTTTTCTTTAATTTAATGTAGATTATCTAATATGTGCGTATTTGGAATAATTTAAAATTGTTGTTTGTAAAAATCCTTGAATAAAACAGGTAGGTTTCAAAAGTTATTGGTTGTGTGGGACTGATCTACATAATTTATTTGGAATGCCACATGGACGTTATGCAATTTTGACGATTTTTAACGTATATAAAAGAAGAAAAGGTTTCCGACTTCATCAAACCTGCCTATATAATTATTAAAACGTTCATTTTGGAAAACTTGGTTTGCAAATATATCTTGACTTTAGCACTTATTTTGATTGAACCTGCCTATATTTGAATGATTGATAAAACATTCATTAAATATATTTTTCGCAGATCTTGCCTTTAACACTTATTTCAATCGCTCCTATACAAAATATCGAATAATTGATAAAACGTTCATTTGCAAACTTCTTGATCTTGTATTTAACACTTACTTTGATTGCACCTATACAAACTATTGAATAATTGACAAACGTTCCATAATTTTTATTGTGTAATTCTGTGTAATTAAAAAAAAAAATTCAATAGAATAAAATTTGTCCAATGAAATGTTGTAAACTGTATATATCCCATGCAATATAAGGTTCATTTTTCCATTATTAGTACTTGTCTCGGGTAAGTCATGCAATGGCGAGCCCATGTGGCTCGCTTAAATGTGTTATTAAAGTCCAGCAAGTGAGAGAATGGAACTCTTGCTGGTGGCTCATGCTGGGTGTATTGATTATTCGTGACATGACTTCTCTCTTTTTATTGTTTATTTTATTTAGAAGGAAACATTTTTAAAAAAAAGGAAAGGTGAGATAAAGTTCGTTAATTGATTTGATTGGTTACATTTGTAAGATATGAAATCCATCAATTATGAGATGCATTATTATTATAGCAACAAGTAGAAAACAACAATGAATCATCATTTTTTGGGGATGACAATAAAGATTAAGATCCGATTTTGTTTCATGAAAATACTCAAGTTTTTCAAAAGATGGCTGTCCTATTTATATGTTTTGGATTTACAAAATAGATTACTGTGACTAATATTAATGAAACCATTTCAACCTATTTTCAAGTAAGTTTAAAATAATTTATTATTATTTATTTATTTAGAGTTTCAGCAGTAATTAGGAGGTTTTGGGAAGCAAACTTAGTTATATATATTTGAACTATTAATTAGATATTATATATTACAAAAAATGGCATCCTCAACATTGTTGGGTAGGCACACATAGTATTTATAAATACATATATTATGTGTAATTTGGAAGTATATAGTAATAATAAAGTCTTGCCACCTTTTTTTTCAATGAAAGATCTACATAAATTTAGCCAATTGTTTTTTATTTCTATATTTTTTTTGCTCATTGATCATTACAGTATTTAGAAATTACAAATTTGGAAAGATTCCAGACTATAATACTAACACTAATCTAACACATCATAATATAATCTTAAATAGTTAGAAAAATAATGTTTACTTTCAACAAATGCAAAACTGTTACGTTTTAAATTATTGATTTTCTGTTGGATTTTGTTTAATTCCGCTCTAATTTAATTATTTCGAGGACTTTATATTAATTGAAGGATATTAAAAAAAAAATATTAAATACAATAATAATATACTTACAGCAAGTCTGACCATACCACAAATCCTAGCTTATCCTCTTTTGATGGTAGAGACGCAGAATCTACATTTAAGAATAGGAAAAGGCCAGCAACATCAGAAAATTTTTCCTGCTGTAATATTACGTCCATAAGTTTAATATATAATGTAATGATTGCATAATTTTCTGCATAATATTACAGGGCCAGTTGTGAACTTATGTAAATAGTAATAATTACATAAATCAGCGTCAGAAAAAATTTCCTGATGAAGTGGCTGCCTACAACTACATATATTAAAATGAAGTTGGACTTGGCCACTTTGCTTGCCATTAATTTGTGCTCCCCATGTGCGAATATGTGATCTCTTTAAACAATCCAAAGTAGCTTTATATGCGTAAATATTTCGTAACCATACATGTCACCACCTAAGTCAGATTTGGATCCATGTCCTTTGCTAGATGGCTAGATGTTATAAATTGGTTTAAAAGAATATAACTATAAGTCATGTTGACAATATAGATATGTATGCAAATAAATATAAATTACCTCATGACTAAACAATACTTTCTTAGTATGCTTGTTACTGTAATAACTAAGATTTCTGGGTCCAAACTATTTTTGAAAAAAAGTATCTTCGACAATAGTTTGGGCCTATAAAATTAATTTTTGCCCAAAGTGTTTTGGCAATTTCGGCTACTAAGAGAAGTAGTTTCGACCAGAAACCTTGGTAATAACGTGACATGTGTGAATATCACCTTCCAATATGTCTTTTTTATAAGGTATTCACCACTAATGTGACAAAAAAAAGAATTAAGTAAATAATCACACATATACATTTACACACATATATATATATATATATAGTCATTTTACTTACTAAGGAATCAAAACGCTTTGGATGTAGTCAATTATTAATCCTTCTTCCATGCTGGGATTGGGTCCATTTGTCAGGCAGGCTCCTTTAATATATTATTAATATTAACTTGGCCTGCACTGATTCCAAACTGGCAAACTCCTTATGGAATCGCACCTAGCCCATGCCCCAACAGATCTCCATGATTTAAATTTTTTCTGTAGTGAAAAAGACAATTATTATCACAAACAATGATCAACAAAATTTGCATAAAAATTACATACTTTTCCTAAAGACTCAAAAAGCCTTGGTAAAGCCTCTGATATAGTTAGGGTTTGTATTCACTGATAACGTGAATACCGTTAAGGGGTTACACGCCATTAAAACAGCAAAAATCCCATGATTTAATAGTATGTGACCCCTAGATGTAGTTGGTATATCAGTTATCTTTTGGTTTGGTTTATTACATCTTTATTTATAAATTCCAATTCGAAAGCATTTATGTAGATTATAAAATTCATGATAATCAATTACATTTGAAAGGTTGATTATCATCTGTTACTATCCAGGTAGAAAGTGAAATATTTATCAATAAAAATCTAGAAAAGAATTACAGTATATATATAAATTAATAAATTAATTAATTATAAATTAAAAATTACTAATATTTAATTTAAATATATACATGCCTACGGCTTTAATAATAAATTTATTTGGATGCTTACTAAGGAGATGAATTAAATTCTTTGTAGAGCCACTACTCATTCATCAAATTTTTTTATGTCCGCAAAAATTATTTTTATATAAAATTATTATTTTTACATAAAATTATTATTTTATTAAACAACTAACCTGTGCGCAATATTTACATTTAACTAAAATGTTCCAATATGGATCTTTGAATTTAAAAAGATTCAGTAGTGCAGTCAAGTTTTGTGATATGTTGGCAAGGCCGTTGTACTAAAGTTTTTAAATTAAAGGATAATATTTTATTATTATGATGCAAGTTTAATTTTCTAATACTATGGTGACAACACTACTATTTATATATTACTTCTATTATCAAAGTGTAAACTCTTATATCAACTCGAAACTAACTTACTTTTTAATGT